TTTCTCCACTGATATGCAATTGCAATGTGCTCCCTTTGCTTTGAGTAGCAACAGGGAGGAAATTTGAATTGAATTGAATTGAATTGAATAGGAAATCAAGTGTGGAGTTGGAAATCAATTGAACAAAATATTAGACTGGGCTTGCCCAAGCATGACTGTCCCTTGAGTGTCACGTGTTTAGGTGGACATATTGGAGACAAAGCTCACAATAGACAATGTAATTGTGCACAGGATTTAGAAAGAGCTTCTCACCATGTTCCATGTCAAGTGTGGTCAGTTTGTTTAAACAAGTTGATCAAGCAGTAATCATACAGTTTGTAGTCACAAACATTGTCAAATATTCTAATGATTACAAGCAAAACACTGCTTCCAAATTGTGGGGGCGGTCGGGTAGCCTAGTGGTTAAAGCGTTCGCTTGTCATGCCGAAAACCCGGGTCCGATTCCCAACTTGGTGCCCCCTGCCGTGATATTGCTGGAATATTGCTTAAAGCAGGGTAAAACCATAGTCACTCACTCACTCACTCCAATTTGTAAAAATGTCCAGAATAATAACAGCAGTCATGGGGGAGACGTAACATTGTTCGTTACCTTCAAAGGATTGCACTATCTTCCATACCAATATTTGAAGCCTGTACAGTCTTGGTCGGTGACCTGACCTATTTGATTTGAATATTTGATTTCCTGCTTTGTATTTTATAGATGTTAGATCAGATGTCAAGCAGTTGCAGTTAATCTTGTGAAAATAAAAAATGATATTATTCAATCGATCATCCTTTACTTTTTCTGGATGTTATCCTTTGCTGGTTAGTTTTGGGGATTCAAAAGCAGGGCTACTCGCATAAATTTCATGACATATTTTAGGCCAGGTTTCGACATTCGCATTAATTTGGTGATTTCATGATTTACAGTATCTATTGCAGTACACTGTGTAAAGGGTAGTGATACTTTCATTTAGGGGCATCTGGCTCAGTGGTATGAGGTGACACAACCCTTAGCTGAGTTGTCTTACTTTCTAAAGTGACAAAATTCTTATTCTTATTCACTCATCTACCCACTGACTGACTGACTGACTCACTGACTCACTGACTCACTCACCTACCTACCCACTCACTGACCCGCTCACTCACCTACCCACTCACTCACTCACTCACTTACTCACCCATCAACACACCCACCCACCCACTAACTCACTCACTCAATCACTCATCTACTCACTCACTCATCTACTCACTCACTCACCCACTCACTCACTCGTCTACTCTCACTCACTCACTCACTCACCTTCCCACTCACTCATCTACTCACTTACTCACACATCCACACACCCACCCACCCACTCACTCACTCACTCATCTACTCACTCACTCACCCACCCACCCACTCACCCACTCACTCACTCACTCACTCACTCACTCACTCACTCACTCACTCACTCACTCACTCACTCACCCACCCACCCACTCACTCACTCACTCACTCACTCACTCACTCACTCACCCACTCACTCATCTACTCACTTACTCACACATCCACACACCCACCCACCCACTCACTCACTCACTCACTCACTCATCTACTCACTCACTCATCTACTCACTCACTCACTCACTCATCTACTCTCACTCACTCACTCACCTTCCCACTCACTCATCTACTCACTTACTCACACATCCACACACCCACCCACCCACTCACTCACTCACTCACTCACTCACTCACTCACTCACTCATCTACTCACTCACTCACTCACTCATCTACTCTCACTCACTCACTCACCTTCCCACTCACTCATCTACTCACTTACTCACACATCCACACACCCACCCACCCACTCACTCACTCACTCACCCACTCACTCACTCACTCACTCACTCATCTACTCACTCACTCACTCACTCACTCACTCACTCATCTACTCTCACTCACTCACTCACTCACTCACCCACCCACTCACCCACTCACTCACTCACTCACCCACTCACTCACTCACTCACTCACTCATCTACTCACTCACTCACTCACTCACTCACTCACTCATCTACTCTCACTCACTCACTCACTCACTCACTCACCCACCCACTCACCCACTCACTCACTCACTCACTCACTCACTCACTCACTCATCTACTCTCACTCACTCACTCACTCACTCACCCACCCACTCACCCACTCACTCACTCACTCACCCACCCACTCACTCACTCACTCACTCACTCATCTACTCACTCACTCATCTACTCACTCACCCACCCACCCACTCACTCACTCACTCACTCACTCATCTACTCACTCACTCACTCATCTACTCACCCACTCATCTACTCTCACTCACTCACTCACCTTCCCACTCACCCACCTTCCCACTCACTCATCTACTCACTCACTCACCCACTCACTCACTCATCTACTCTCACTCACTCATCTACTCTCACTCACTCACCTTCCCACTCACTCACCTTCCCACTCACTCACCTTCCCACTCACTCATCTACTCACTCACTAACTCATCTACTCTCACTCACTCACTCACTCACCTTCCCACTCACTCACCTTCCCACTCATTCATCTACTCACTCACTCACTCACTCCAACCACCCACTCACTCCAACCACCCACTTACTCACTCACTTATACATCAACATGTTCCTCATTGACAATTGAAACATCTATCATGACTGATCTTATTGCTGATTGATGCTGCTTATTGAGATTCTTTGATCCACGTAAAAGGATTTGTCTTCGAACTGTTTACGTACCTCATATTCATGTCCCCTTTCATGTGGCCGAGGTAGACAGTAGGCCTCTGCTGGTAGCTGTGAAGTCTGGATCATAATCGGGCCTGGCGGCCATGTTCTGGCAGATTACAGAACCTTCATAGGTTTTCAATCTGAGAATATGCTCAGTCGTCCCCATCAAGGCGGCCACGTCCTAAACGTATTATTGCTTGCAATGTTGTCGATGTCTGCCTCACTGATCACTGCAACACATGAAACAAAGGTCACGTGTTATATTAAAGGATTGTTGGAGTTAGGAACACATGTTTGGGGTCAGTTTTCAAGAAAACAGCTTCGTCTTGTGTTCTGGGATTATTGCTGATTGTGTCAGATTACCAGGGCTGGAACTTCTATTCCTTGTATTGTTGTATAATGTAATCATGTGGCTAAATAACACTGTGGCAATGGTTATTATATGATTGATTGTGATTGATTGTTGTTTAACGCCGCACTCAGCAATATTCCAGCTATATGAGGGCGGTCTGTAAATAATTGAGTCTGGACAAGACAATCCAATGATTGACATCATGAGTATCGATCCACGCAATTAGGATATGATGTCAGCGAGTTTGACCTCTAAATCCCATTAGTCGCCTTTTATGACAAGCAAAGTCACCTTTTACGGCAAGCAGAGGTTGCTGAAGACCTATTCTACCCCAGATCTTACAGGGTCGGTTATAATATGAAGTAGAAGTAAACAATATTTCCAACTTTCAATGTATCGCACTTGTTTGCTCTATGAATGTACTTTATCGACAAGAATTTAAACAACCAGTGGTATCGTCAATAGTATGCATAACAATTGATAGTTTCAGCGGTCACAATTAGTTTTACAGTAAACTCAGTTTTACAGTCAAATTTCAAACCTGCCATGTGTTAATTTGCAAGGATATCAATAACTTCAGCTTAGAGTTACTTCCCTTTGCTTTGAGTAGCAACAGGGGGGAAAATGGCCGACTTTAACATTGTCTGCACATATTTTATTCATTTCTATCACACTGATATATATGATAGCATGGGCTACTATTGCAATACAATCACAATAGTGAAAATAACCCATACAGTCACCAAGTCAGAGATAACTGTACGGGCACACATGTAAGCTGGAGGCAAAAGGTGAGGCGAAATGGGGTTTAACGTCGCGTCCAAGATTATTACACTTATATAGCGACATGCATGTACGTGTGTGTGTGTGTGTGGCTGCTTGTACTAGTCCGGACTGATGCCGATTTATAGTGCTAGCACACAGAGATACCATGCCGCAGTTAAACATGAATACCCCACTCAGACACAGAATACTGACTCCGAGCCGACCAGTCCTTGTTTTAGCCCTTTAATGCCGAGCGCCAGACAGGGTAACAGGGTAACGTCTTTTGGTATGACGCGGCCGGGGATCGAACCCCGGGCCTTACGCTCTCCGGGCGGACGCTCTACCGCTAGACCACAGAGGCGGTCTGTAAGCTGGGCAAACAGGAGATATGAACATGGGGATGCAGATGGGACATGGAAGTTCAGTAGGGTATTATTAAACTCAAAGGAATTTAGGCTGAAAATAAAAATCAATGCAGTTATTGGCTTAAATCATGGTATACAGAACATGGAGCAAGATTCACCTATTGTCCGTACGTCATTAGCAGGAGGTGTTGTGGCGTGAAAGTGAATATAAAAACAGGATTTATTTTGTGTCAATCATCTAAAAATCAAATCTTTTTCGTTTTATTTAGATCTGTGACTTGCTTGTAAGCCACCACTCTCACTCACTCACTTACTTATCCACATCCTCACTCACTCAGAGCCTATCATCAACCCACCCATTCATCCACTCGCCCGCCCGCCCGCCCTCCCTCCTGTCCATGCATCAACCAAGTCAGCGTGCCTGACCACCCAATCCCATTAGTCGCCTCCTACGACAAGCATGCATTACTTCAGGCTTTCCTCCTACATTTAGCTGACACGCTGTGATATAACTGGAACATTGTTTAAAATGGTGTTAAACCAAACTCACTCACCCACTCACTCACTCACTCACTCACTCACTCACTCACTCACTCACTCTGTAGCATCATGGGAACATGGTATGTTTACCTGTCTCCGAGTTACCGGTAAAACATGTCAGCCGGTTTACGTGGGGTATGACAGAGAATGATAAGGATTTATGAAATAATTGTTGTATGATTCATGGTAATGTGTGCAGTTGGTTTCACTCTGGTTGTTTGTGTTGCAGAGTATTCAAGAAAAGCAGCCCCAATGGAAAGGTAAGAACAGTTTCTTTGCCAACTTTTCTCACCCTGAAATACAGACATGCAGTGAAACCCCACCGATCTGGACTGTCCGACTGTCGACGGAAATTGTGGGCAGTGTTTACAGCTAAACGAATCACGGTTACGGATAAATTGCTTATCACAAATATTTGTGATTGAGTGTGTGGGAGAGATTTCCTTCTATGAGGGTTAAAAAGGATGGTGTTCCATGATGATAACCACAAAATTATTAGGATTTCAAATCTAAAATAGCTTGTCCATTTTTATTTGAGCTGAAATAATGTTCGCTGTGCAGAGTAGCGTCCCTTGGGACGCCAGAAACTATGTTTGTGGGTTCGAATGTCGGTTCGCCCGATTATGTTTCTAGGTTCATTCCCATGCCATGGGTTTCACTGAAGTGGTAAACGTCTGAGACCTGCATCACTTTGGGCTTTTCTCCCATATTAAGCTAACACGCTATGATATGACTGGAATACTGTAAAAACTCACTCACTCACTCACTCACTCATGCTCATCTCTCAGTTACCCATATTTACATCAGATCTTTAAGATATATATAATAAGTTACTTTATTATTTAACCCATATGAATATTACTAAGTTGTGATGACCGCCTCTGTGGTCTAGTGGTAGAGCGGAAGGTCCGGGGTTCGATCCCTGGCCGCGTCATACCAAAAGACGTTAAAAGATGGTACTTGTTGTTACCCTGTCTGGCACTCGGAATTAAGGGGCTAAAACAAGGACTGGTCGGCTCGGAGTCAGTATACTGTGTCTGAGTGGGGTATTCATGTTAAACTGCGGCATGGTATCTCAGTGAGCTAGCACTATAAATCGGCATCAGTCTGGACTAGTACAAGCAGCCACACATGTGCATGCACGTCACTATATAAGTGCAATAATCTTGGACGCGACGTTAAACCCAATTTCACCTCACCACTAAGTTTTGATGATTTATATCAACTCATGTTGCTATCGACCCGTGAAGATCCAAGTAGAATAGATCTTCAGCAACTCATGCTTGCCTTTAAGGCGACTATTATTGTTGTAAGAGGCGACTAACGGGATCGAGTGGTCAGGCTGCTGACTTGGTTGATGCTGTCATCGTATCCCAATTGCGTGGTTTGAAGCTCATGATATCAATCACTGGATTGTCTGGTCCAGACTCAATTATTTACAGACCGCCTTCATATAGCTGGAATATTGTGATATGGTGTTAAACAAACAAACAAATCCCCTGTTGCTATCAAGGATGTGACATTGGAAGCTGTATACAACAAGCGTGATATACCGTGTACTTCCCACCACCATCAAGGATGTTGTATACACACGACACGACATGTTGCCAGCCTCATTAATACTGAATGTATACTGGCCTCTGGGGACAGAGGCTCGTCATAATGCAATGGTTAGGACAGCATTAGGTGGTAGATTTCATTGTCGGTTGTGTCTGCCAATCATTCAGCGTGACGAAAACAAGCCTATATCACATACACTGCGTAACAGGCTGACATCACATACACAGGAATACGGGCCAGGGTGTCGTACAAAGCGATGTTAGGGCAAAGGTGATCACAACTCCCATACCATATTCGTCGTAATAAGCGCTCCGCTCTAATAAGCGCCAACGGCGATATTTGTTAATATATTGACACGTGAACAATCCCAATTAGCACCCCTTCCGATTGATCAATGTACACAAGACTTATTTATTTGGTGTATAATACGTGTGTTATATGCATTCTTAATTATGGGAAATTAAGTTCTGGAAAATATATCTGTCATATATAAACATTTCAGGCTGTCAGCATAAACCATGAAATTTACTATCTTTCAACTCTGTTGTTTTTCACCAAAATAATATTCTGATAAGAGCCCCCTATTTTTAATTTTGAGAGCGCCCTGGGCGCTTATTATGTCGAATACGGTACCTTTAACATAGACTTACAACAGTCTTAGGGCTAAGGTTGTTTCGTACAACAGCACCCTGTATCACAAGCAAGGGAATATGGGCCTATACCACATACACACTGTGATAGGCCTACATCACATACACTAGAATATGGGCCTATACCACATACACACTGTGATAGGCCTACATCACATACACTGGAATATGGGCCTATACCACATACACACTGTGATAGGCCTACATCACATACACTGGAATATGGGCCTATACCACATACACACTGTGATAGGCCTACATCACATACACTAAAATATGGGCCTATACCACATACACACTGTGATAGGCCTACATCACATACACTGGAATATGGGCCTATACCACATACACACTGTGATAGGCCTACATCACATACACTAGAATATGGGCATGTACCACATACACACTGTGATAGGCCTACATCACATACAGTAGAATATGGGCAAATATCACATACTGTGGAATAATGGCATAAATCACATACACTAGAATATGGGCATATACCACATACACACTGTGATAGGCCTACATCACATACAGTAGAATGTGGGCAAATATCACATACTGTTGAATAATGGCATAAATCACATACACTGGAATATGGGCATAAATCACATACACTGGAATATGGGCATATATCACATACTCTGGAATATGGGCATATATCACATACACTGGAATATGGGCATATAATACACTAGAATATGGGCACTGAAATTAATGCGAGCGTGAATTAAAAGCGAAAAATATGAGTGGTCTTCACATTAATGAAACTTCGCATTTATGTCTCCAAAATGACTATCAACAATAAGGCGGCCTCACTGCACACTTTGGATAGCGGAAATACCAACTTAAAAATAGACACAAACACGGTATATTTAGCAGCGGTTGTAACAAGTATATAACAATGTCATTAAAAGAATAGGAATTACACAATAGGCATCCGGTGAGTTGTCACAGCTGGGGTCAAGAGTTCTACCCACTCTTGCCAAACTAGGCATCATTGACCACTCCAATCAGTGAACTGTTCTTGGTTCAATCATATTATTGCTTTGGTACTTCCTTAGTGCCAGTCAACAGAATAAACATATAAACTGTGTGTTGTTTTTAGGAAAATACTGTTTATCGTTATTACGGAAGTGCTCTACTCAGTGCTAATATGTGGTGCTGTTTGTTGTTTGATTGGATTAAGGTAAGGATATGCATCATTCCACTGGGGATGGGATGGGGGGAGTCACATTGATTTTGAGTCACATTTTTTACTAGGGGTCAGCAGTCATATTAATTTTGAGAGGCATTAATTTCAAGATTTACAGTATCACATACTCTGGAATATGGGCATATATCACATACACTGGAATATGGGCATATATCACATACACTAGAATATGGGCATATATCACATACACTGGAATATGGGCATATATCACATACACTGGAATATGGGCATATATCACATATATTGGAATATGGGCATATATTACATACACTGGAATATGGGCATATAACACATACACTGGAATATGGGCATATATCACATACACTGGAATATGGGCATATAACACATACACTGGAATATGGGCATATATCACATATATTGGAATATGGGCATATATTACATACACTGGAATATGGGCATATAACACATACACTGGAATATGGGCATATATCACATACACTGGAATATGGGCATATATCACATATATTGGGCTATTGTTAGGAAGCTGAAGCTTTGATTAATGGGCAAAGCTATTATCTTTTTAATATATTTTTGGTTCATTCAAATGGAGCCAGATGGTTTCACGCAGGACGATGTGGCTGCAGGAGATTTGATTATTTGGCAACGTTTTTTAAATTTTCGGTCTATGGATTCAGATGACTGGAGCCATAAGGCACAGTTTTTTAAACAAAATGGTATAAGGTTTATAAACTGCTCCATTTTTGATGGCTTTGAAAAACATACAACTTTCCTTTGTAAAAATCAAATGTAAAATTGTCAATAAGAAAACGTACAATGTTATGGATAACAACTTCTTTTATACTCCCCAACTTCTAGAATGCCAAACAAACAGTTAAAATTGTCAACTTTTTCAGAAACAATTGATCAAAGACACTACAGAGAAACTATGCCTTCCAGGACAAGACATGCACATGTAACTATCCAAATATTAAACACACTTCCCTCAAAACTAAATTGGCTGATATTTTTCCCCAATAAACCGACAACCCCCCGAAAATATATACCAAGTATATAAAAGTATGGAGCAGCACAAATACATTTTTACATTTTAGTTCAACCTACCCAATGTAATGTGGTTCATAAATAATCAGTAAACAATAGAATAATACAGTGTGGGCCTTCTGAGCTCTTTATACTCAGTAATTATATTCAAATATTCGCCACAAGTGTAGAACGATCGCGTGTAACAGCTTTCCATATTTGCACACGTGTTCTTCAGTGATTCTCAATGCTGATTGGTCAGTTGAAGTCATATTACATCACAGTGCATCATTTATTTGTTGATTTTTCCCTCCAACCATTGTTCATGTCATCACTTATTGATTACGTTATGTCATCGGAACAATAGGCTGCGTTCAGGGAAGTGTAACTGTAGGGCTGACATTTCAAATTTATTTTCTTCATTTTCTTTGTTAAAATGTCAACAAGTATCACCGTATTCGACGTATTAAGCGCCCAGGGCACCCTCAAAATTAGAAATAGGGGGCTCTTATTAGAATATAATTTTGGTGGGGAAAAAAGAGTTGAAAGATCGTAAATTTCGTGGTTTATGCTGACAGCCTGAAATGATACAGAAGAAAAGTCGTATTATACACGACAGATATATTTTCCAGAATTTAATTGCCCATAATTAAGGGTACATAAAACACGAGTGCGTATTATACACGAATAAATATGTCTTGTGTACATTGATCAATCGGAAGGGGTGCTAATTGGGATTGTTCACTAGCCAATATATTAGCAAATATCGCCGGGGCACTTATTACTTCGAATACGGTATATAGAATAAGCTACATATATTAAAATTATGGCTGATCTGTCCCTTGCTCAGAACTTTCACCATTCAATAATCGGGACAGATATATGTTTGTTTGTTTGTTTGTTGTTTAATGCAGCACTCAGCAATATTCCAGCTATATGACGGTGGTCTGTAAATAATTGAGTCTGGACCAGACAATTCAGTGAGTGACTTCATGAGCATTGATCCATGCAATTGGGATAAGATGACATGTATCAACCAAGTCAGCGAGTCTGACCACCCCATCCTGTTAGTCGCCTCTTATGACAAACAGTCACTTCTTACGGCAAGCATGGGTTGCTGAAGACCTATTCTACCCCAGATCTTTGCGGGCCGCAGATATTCGTAATTTTTGTAGCTTGGCTATTTTCTAAATAGTTCAATGAACAACACAGGATTAGATAATAAGTCAGATTTATAAAACAAGCAGATATCAAAGACGAATAGAAAATGTTGCAGGCAAAGAATCAATGTTTAGTCTAAGCAATTTTCACAGCTTTTGTCATAGAATTGTCTCACCTACAGATATATACAAAATATAGTATCACTTTTATGGATCATTTCTAGTTTCACATCAACCATTGAGTTTGTTTGTTGTTTAACGCAGCACTCAGCAATATTCCAGCTATATGGCGGCGGTCTGTAAATAATTGAGTCTGGACCAGAAAATCCAGTGATAAATCAACCATTAAGGCCACCACACAGAATTGTATGACCTGGTCTTGTAGTGATATTTCTATGATATTTCCAACATTCAGCCTTCCAGTTGATTACAGGATGAAGATTGCTCTTAATCACATGGTACATTTAGAGAATAATATTTCACTCATACGATGATGTTTTCCATTAGCGGTGAGATATTATCTTTCTGGGGACAGCTGTGGGAATGTGAATATTTACGTATCCATGCACGCATGCACATAGTTACATAATACGAGTTCATTGTGCAATCATTTTATTACTTAATATTTTTTCTGTGATATTTCAAATGTCAGACAGACAGGAACTCCTGACGCCACAAAAATTTCGTTACATTGAGGCTTAGTCTCTGATGATATATAATTTTGATACATTTTGCAAGTACATTTTAGATAAATTCAGAAGGAGCTCCAGTGACATGGGATTCAGAACCTGTGAAAAATCTAGACTTGCTTCACTTGGGCTGTAGCATTACAGTTAGGTTCGGAGGAAGGGAAAATAATATGGTTCAGGGACTGTGAGACAGATCAAGATTGATAGGACAGTTAAGGTCAGGTTAATAACAGTGATACTTTGTAGGGCTGGGACGAGTCCAGATTTACTACCCTGGTACCCACCACCCTATTACCTGACCCTACCCAGGTACCCACTGTAGGTCCCAGGAGATGTCTCAAAATCTCCGAATGGGAACAGTTTTAGCATAGCCCTGGCAAAACGTATTAAGATGCATGTATTAAACAATCGGGTCATTCATACACTGAAGTTGAATTAAGTTTATCTTTATTCAACCATATGAAAAATCAGAAGGAATGGGTTCATAGTCAGAAAGAAATGCGAACATTAGTGACTTGTAGTGTAACCATAGAGTTCTAGATAATTTTTTCATTAAACAATATATCACGTGACTAACCACGGGTCTGGGTAGTCCTGTGGGTACCCGGGTCCTACTCAGTACCCACCCGACCAGGTACCCGAGGTTATCCGGCCCAGCCCTAATACTTTGAAGCTGTCTCTATTATTTCTTAACAAGGTTATGTTAAAGTAAGCAATTTAGGAAATTCTGGTAAAAATACCTTCTTATGTATTATTTGCCATGTTTTGGGCTGCACCCTTTGTGAAGGGGTGGTGACCATTATCATGTTTATGATTTTGTAGCAGAATTATGATATTTTGCATCAGTTCCATCTGATCAGTGAAGTGAAATACTTTTGGGGGAAAATGTCAGTGATGGGCTTTCATCCTTCATGCAGCTTGAATTCTATGTTATGTCTTCATTTCCAAATTTGAAGCAATATGTTTTTTGTTTGTTTGTTGTTTAATGCCGCACTCGGCATTATTCCAGCTATATGACAGCGGTCCATAAATAAATGAATCCGGACCAGACAATCCAGTGATTGACATCATTAGCATCAGTCAACGTAATTGGGATACGATGACATGCCAAGTCAGAGAGCCTGACACAACATTCAGTCAGTCGCCTCTTAGGACAAGCACAGTTGCCTGCTAACGCAATCACGCATGCAATCACGCACAAACACACGCACATATATTAGAGCAATAATCTTGAATGCAACGTTAACCCCATTTCACCTCCCCTCGACCGTCCGGAGCAGTTTTGTCAGTCTCCTCTCTTTGTTCAGGACTTTATCATCTGATCCACTATGGGACTAACTGCAGATTGATTCCACGGGATAGGAAACTTCCCTTTGCGGTCACCCACCTTCACTTTCCCAATATGTGAGCCCACGGACAAGCTTCATCGCCATGGCAACATGTGTTATTATTGCCCATGAACATTGATGAGTTAGCATGAAATCACTTGACCAGTAACACTTCATTAAGCTTCACTCTGTGATATTGGGGTGAGAAGTTATTGCAAGTGGAAAATCGGCAGTGAATTTGTTATTTCTGATACGGTCATGAAACGAGGAACCTGGTGACTCAAGATGTAACTAGGATGCCAGTGATGATCTTGTTTCTCTTCATATTCTTGTTTCATTATTATACAGACGCTTTTGGCCCTCCAAGTATCCAGTCTGAAATATGCACGGATCGTGTCTAAGTGTCATGAAGCAACATTGCCATGGCGATTCATACTTAAAGATCAAGAGCTTTTTGGAAGCGGAGATATTTATTGTAGCATAATTCTGTTCCATGTGACTTCATTGATAAATGTGTTCGGGACCATTCTTTCAGGATTATTTATCAATTTAAGAATGTATTATCAATAATAATCGTTGCTTTAGAGGAGGATGCATTGTTTTCACACCCGGTATCAATATTTATTCCTTCTGCAGAAGGAGATATTAAATTTTATATTTCCACCAAGGTGTGGTATATCTTCAAGACAACACCTGTCTCACAGACAGGGAGACATTATGGTGTTATCTAATTCTTAGGCATCATTGTTTTATGAATCTGCTACCATGGCAAAGTTGGGAAACGAATGACACTGTATATTTATTTTTATGGATGACCAATTATATAGCTGGAATATTGCTGAGTGACAGACAATAGTTTACAGCTGCCATTATATGGTTGGAATATTGCTGAGTGTGGCATTAAACAACAAACAAACAATAGTTTACAGCTGCTATCATATGGTTGGAAAATTGCTGAGTGGGGCATTAAACAACAAACAAACAAACAATAGTTTACAGCTGCTATCATATGGTTGGAATATTGCTGAGTGGGGCATTAAACAACAAACAAACAAACAATAGTTTACAGCTGCCATTATATGGTTGGAAAATTGCTGAGTGGGGTATTAAACAACAAACAAACAAACAATAGTTTACAGCTGCTATCATATGGTTGGAATATTGCTGAGTGTGGCATTAAACAACAAACAAACAATAGTTTAAAGCTGCTATCATATGGTTGGAATATTGCTGAGTGTGGCATTAAACAACAAACAAACAAACAAACAATAGTTTACAGCTGCCATTAAATGGTTGGAATATTGCTGAGTGTGGCATTAAACAACAAACAAACAAACAAATAATAATCCTGTCTGCCAGAAGGTGGAGTGAAATTGGGTTTAACATGGCATCCACGATTATTGCACTTATATAGTGATGTACATGCACGTGTGTGTTTGTATGGCTGCTTGTACTAGTCCGGACTGATGCCGATTTATAGTGCTAACCTACTGTGATACCATGCCACAGTTTAACATGAATACCCCACTCAGACACAGTAGACTGACTCCAAGCCGACCAGTCCTTGTTTTAGCCCCTTAATGCCGAGCGCCAGACAGGGTAACAACAAGTACCATCTTTTAATGTCTTTTGGTATGATGTGGCTGGGTATCGAACCCTGGACCTTCCACTCTCAGGGTGGACGCTCTACCACAAGACCACAGAGGTGGTCCTCAGAAAGCCATGGATTGTAGTTCAGTAGAATAATTAGCCATTATTAATTTGTGTATTTGTTTTGCAGATAACAACCTACTTGGGAAAGAGAGACTTCATTGACCATCTTACTCATATTGATCCAATAGGTAAGTCTGTCTATAACATTTGTCTCTTTGGAAATAATTTTGTACTCGCTAACGAAGATTTATTGATTTACTCCTGCTCCTAAAGCATGTGTCATATAAATTGTACTGTGAAGTCTTGTTAAGTGATTGATTTAGACACACAAGACAATTATCTGTCAGCTATTTCAATGGTCGTAGCTCCTATTTTCAGTCTGATTTCAAACTAACATGTCAGTTACAGTCATTGTGCACTGTGGTCACAGATCCAGAGCTATATATCGGCAGTTTAGTGCACTGTGGTCACAGATCCAGAGCTATATATCGGCTGTTTAGTGCACTGTGGTCACAGATCCAGAGCTATATATCGGCGGTTTAGTGCACTGTGGTCACACATCCAGAGCTATAATTCGGCTGTTTAGTGCACTGTGGTCACAGATCCAGAGCTATATATCGGCGGTTTAGTGCACTGTGGTCACAGATCCAGAGCTATATATCGGCTGTTTAGTGCACTGTGGTCACAGATCCAGAGCTATATATCGGCTGTTTAGTGCACTGTGGTCACAGATCCAGAGCTATATATCGGCTGTTTAGTGCACTGTGGTCACAGATCCAGAGCTATATATCGGCGGTTTAGTGCACTGTGGTCACAGATCCAGAGCTATATATCGGCTGTTTAGTGCACTGTGGTCACAGATCCAGAGCTATATATCGGCTGTTTAGTGCACTGTGGTCACAGATCCAGAGCTATATATCGGCGGTTTAGTGCACTGTGGTCACAGATCCAGAGCTATATATCGGCGGTTTAGTGCACTGTGGTCACAGATCCAGAGCTATATATCGGCGGTTTAGTGCACTGTGGTCACAGATCCAGAGCTATATATCGGCGGTTTAGTGCACTGTGGTCACAGATCCAGAGCTGTATATCGGCGGTTTAGTGCACTGTGGTCACAGATCCAGAGCTGTATATCGGCGGTTTAGTGCACTGTGGTCACAGATCCAGAGCTATATATCGGCTGTTTAGTGCACTGTGGTCACAGATCCAGAGCTATATATCGGCGGTTTAGTGCACTGTGGTCACAGATCCAGAGCTATATATCGGCGGTTTAGTGCACTGTGGTCACAGATCCAGAGCTATATATCGGCGGTTTAGTGCACTGTGGTCACAGATCCAGAGCTATATATCGGCTGTTTAGTGCACTGTGGTCACAGATCCAGAGCTATATATCGGCGGTTTAGTGCACTGTGGTCACAGATCCAGAGCTGTATATCCGCGGTTTAGTGCACTGTGGTCACAGATCCAGAGCTATATATCCGCGGTTTAGTGCACTGTGGTCACAGATCCAGAGCTATATATCGGCGGTTTAGTGCACTGTGGTCACAGATCCAGAGCTATATATCGGCGGTTTAGTGCACTGTGGTCACAGATCCAGAGCTATATATCGGCGGTTTTAGGCACTGTGGTCACAGATCCAGAGCTATATATCGGCGGTTTAGTGCTTGTGCCCCCAGGCAAGGATCTGATGGTGGGATTCCGGGATTAGTCCTGATCACAGGACTTGGCCTATTCTTGTGGGTGTTGTAATGAACATTGAACAATGAACATTGTTACAAGCCATTTCCAAACTGAAAAATATAGGTTAACCCACAAATTATTTTATACAAAACTAAAATGAATCGGTAATGACCACACAAGATGAATAATTAACAATTTTTATTGAAAGACATAGTTTTAGCTTTATAATCACAAGGGGTTTATCTAGGCCTGTTCAAAGTCAGATATTCTGCTCCAGATCTGCAGCAAATGTAAGTTAATAATCCCAAATTGGAATTAAAAATTCCCAATTCATGTTAATACAGTTATAACTAAGGTTATGACTTTGAGAGGTAACTTGTATATCACTGACAACAGGGCCAATACAGTGAAAGAGGCATTAATGCTTCTCTTACATTATCACACTGAATGCAGTGTAGGGGCCCGGGTGGCCCAGTCATCTAAGGCGCCGCCATTCGCTGTGCAGAGTTGCGTCCCTTGGACACGCCAGAAACCTATGATTGTGGGTTCGAATCCCAGTTCGCCCCTATTATGTTTCTAGGTTAATCAGCACCATACCCGTGCTCGTGGGTTTCACCGAAGTGGTAAACGTCTGAGACCTGCATCACTTCGGGCTTTCCTCCCACATTAAGCTGATATCCTGTGATATAACTGAAATACTGTTAAAAGTGGTGTTAAACCCAACTCACTCACTCACTCACTCACTCACTCACTCACTCACTCACTCACTCACTCACTCACTCACTCACTCACTCACTCACTCACTCACTCACTCACTCACTCACTGCAATGTTAAGATAGCTCTGAATTTAGGAAAATATAAACTTTGAGAAAAATCCCAAAACTGAACAAAATAGTTATTATAATGGACTCTTAGCTTCGAATCCCTGATCACACAGGGCAGTATGGTGGGTCAAATTGGTGACAGCAGCCGCCGTCAGAAACAGTCCCTATAACAGGAGTTTCCAGAAATTGTCGCAGTTGAATATCTGAAAAGAGGCAGGTGCTTTGTTCTTAAAACCTGAGTCGTGTTAGAACTCGGCAGGAATACATTGGTTTCAGGTCGGCATCTTGGCCACACTTAGCAAGTAGATAAGATGTCAGTCAGGTTGTAAATGGGCTGGTATCGCCCTAGTGTCACTCTCATATAGGTAGACTCAGCCTTCTAGAATTTGTCACATCACCAAACAAACACGAGACAACATGAAACGATGGAGCTGTACTGTGTTTGTTCAAAACCAAGGGAGGTAACTCTAAATCACAGTCTATATTGGCACTTGATATTTTAGGAGCACCTCAGTCATCTGCTGCCACTGACAGAGTTGCGTCCCTTGGGCACGCCAGAAACCTATAGTTGTAGGTTCGAATCCTGGTTATGTTTCTAGGTTTGTCAGCACCATACCCGTGATCGTGGGTTTCACCAAAGTGGTAAACGTCAGACCTGCATCACTTCGGGTTTTCCTCCCACTTTAAGATGACACTCCGTGATATAACTGGAATACTGTTAAAAGCGGTGTTAAACCCAAATCACTCACTCTTTTCTTAAACTGGTTTAAAAATAATTGTCTTGAAAACAAAAGTGCCGTGGTTCGCCCCCACATTATTTGGTTCTTCTTTCAGAGATCTTTGTTATTGGAACTGCCATACTATAACATAGACTAAGGGTCGGCGACGCAGCCTACTGGCTAATGTGTTTACTGTTCCCACCGAAGGCCTGGGTTTGATTCCCCGCAAGTGTACAATGTGTGAAGCCAATTTCTAGTGCACCCTGCTGTCATATTGCTGGAATATTGCTGGAATATTGCTAGAAGCGGAGTTAAACCATACTCACTCACTCACTCACTCACTCACTCACTCACTCACTCACTCACTCACTCACTCACTCACTCACTCACTCACTCACTCACTCACTCACTCACTCACTCACACATCTTTTAAAATACATTCTTTCAGTGTGTCTTCAGTGATTGATTTTGCTATATCCAAGCTGCACCAGTGCAGGTAAAAAACATTGCTTGTGCAGGTAACTTGTATTGCAAGATTGCACCCAGTGCAGGTAACATTTGCCACTACAAGTGCACTACAGCAGTTATATTTGATATAAGTGGAAAACTGAATTCTTTTAGAACTGGCTGCAAATCTTTTCAAAACCAGGAAACAAAAGTTCATGAAATGAGTGAAATACACAGGTGGTCTGAATGCAGTGAACTTGCAGAACTAATTCTTCACAATTACCAACAGTCATTCATGAGGTGACAGTCCCAACAAATAGACACTTTGAAACTTCTGTTTTAGATTGTTTACTGGATCTCATGATATGAAAAACCATGTAGAGATTTTCTCAAAATAAACTGCTGGAGCACATTCTCAAGTTTATTTTCTCTTTGAATTTATCTAATATTCAAAATAACTGAAAATACAGTGTTTCAATTTATGATAAAATGGTGTAGGTTGTAAAACAGAATGAACTCACACCCTGTAACGTCTAAACATCATAAACTGTGGGTCTTGAAGCAATGGGGGGGCACGGGTGGCCCAGTCGTCTAAGGCGCCTGTGCAGAGTTGCGTCCTTTGGGCATGCCAGAAACCTATGATTGTGGGTTGGAATCACGGTTCACTCCGATAATGTTTCTAGGTTTGTCAGCACCATACCCATGCTCGTGGGTTTCACCGAAGTGGTAAACATCTGAGACCTGCATCACTTCGGGCTTTCCTCCCACATTAAGCTGACACGCCGTGATATAACTGGAATACTGTTAAAAGCGGCGCCAAACCCAACTCACTCACTCACTCTTAAAGCAATGACAGCATTGACTGATTTCCTTACACCCAAACAATGCATTTAAGTGTCCCTGACATCCCCGAATTAATGGTGAGGAAATTCAACTGGACACGATGGTATGTAGTGATTAGCGACGACATTGTTTTTTTACTTGCAAACCATTTCCTGGTTCCCGCTCCTTGCTACATTGTTCCCCTTGTGCCCACCAGATGGCGTTGTGCTGGTCGACCCGGAGTACCTGAAGGACAGGAAGGTGTTCGCTCATGTTCTGGCAGCGTTCCGCTATGGCCGCGAGGACCTGGACGTTCTGGGGCTCACGTTCCGGAAGGACCTGTACCTGTCCTCGCTACAAGTGTACCCGCCCCTCAAGGAGCATCAGAAGCCCCTGACACGCCTCCAGGAGAGGTTGATCAAGAAGCTGGGCCCCAACGCCTACCCCTTCTACTTCGAGGTGAGTACAAGTCTACCGTAGTTACCGTAATAACCACCCCATGCACTCAGAAAGTTGATGAAGGGAGATTTTCTGAAACCATACGGAGCATGGGTGGCCCAGTCAAGTCATTGCCGCAATTCTCTATGCAGAGTTGCGTCCCATCGGCATGCCAGAAACCTATGATCGTGGGTTTGAATCCCAGTTCGTCCCGATCATGATTCTATTTTTGTCAACACATATCCGTGCTAGCGGGTTTCAGCAAAGTGGGTAAACGTCTGAGACCTGCATCTCTTCGGGCTTTCAAGCTGGCACACCTGTTATATAACTGGAATATATTGTGCAAAGTGCCTTCAGACCCAAATCACTTACTTACTCGCTCACTCACTTATTAAGCCATACAGAGATCGTGCAGTAAGGAATAATCCATGAATAAGGCCACACCCACAAGTATATTGTATTCGCTGTAATAAGCACCCCATGCATTTGGAAAATTGACAAAAGGAGAGCTTATTGAACCTTACAAAGATTGGGCTGTAGGGAATAAACAGAATATAGCCACACCCACACACAAATACCGTATTTGGCATAATTAGCTACCCAGGAACTTTGAAAATTGATGAAGAGGATGCTGATTAAAACTATATAAAGATAGAGCTGTAGGGAATAAACAGAATATAGCCACACCCACACACAAATACCGTATTTGCCCCATTGAGTACTCCAGGCACTTAGAAAATAGATGAAGTGGATGCTTATTAAATTTGCTGTCAAAGGTCAAGCAGTAGAGAATAAACTTTGTCCTAACGTCGATGAAACTAAAACGTACTGGGCAATTAGGTACCGCTTCTGTGCTGCTGTTTTCTGTAAAAAATCTATAATTTTAGAGAAGAAAATGTCAGCTTTCTCACCATTCTCACTCACACACTCACTCCAAGGAGATATCACTCTATCACCATACCCGTGCTCGTGGGTTTCACCGAATTGGTAAACGTCTGAGACCTGCATCACTTCGGGCTTTCCTCCCACATTGAGCTGACACGCCGTGATATAAGTGGAATAATGTTAGAAGCGGCGTTAAACCCAACTCACTCACTCATGTCAAATTGTAAAATTCTACATCCTGATGATGTGTACAAGAATTCCCAGACCCCTAGACGCATGACAAAGCTGACACAGTTTGTGTTGAGTGTTAGTGAACGTTATCCTGGGGACAAGGTGGCCCAGTCGTCTAAGGTGCTGCAATTATCCCCTATACTTTAGGTGCCCCTACAATAAAATGCTTTATCTGCAGGGAAATCAGTGCTTTGACTGGCCACATCATTGTAGAGATGCCAGTCTATTTGAGACTCTTGTAGTAGAGATGCCACATTTACCATCTATGGTACTAACCCAGAGAATTATGTCTTTTCTTCATGAGAGGAGAACTTGACATTTCCAGTATTCTACATCATCTATCTCTACTTCAGAAAAGATTGGCTTCATTAAGCCAATATGTTGAAGAGAATGCCATTTTTTGCATACCATCCGGAGCCATTATCGACTTGCTGTCAGGATAAGCTCCCACGCTTTTGTCATCTATGGAATCCTTTTATGAACTTCCTGAAGTACAGCTCACATTTCCTAAACTTCATTTTTGTCCCAGTAGGTACAGAAAAACAAAACCAGGAAGGATTTTTTCGAGTTACAAAGACAATTAATGTAATTACCTTTCCACAGAGACAGTGTAAGCATCTTTGGTGTTGGTTTTTATAATTTTATTTCTCCATTTGATTTGATTTGATGCCATCCAGCAGCTGCTTTCTTCAGTGAAAATGATATCCTCTTCCAGTAACCCACGCTTCTCTCCCTCTGGGGATTCCAGGGAAACACAGGTCCTAGCACCTCATGCTTGTCTCCTTGTGGGGATTCCAGGGAAACACAGGTCCTAGCACCTCATGCTTGTCTCCTTGTGGGGATTCCAGGGAAACACAGGTCCTAGCACCTCATGCTTGTCTCCTTGTGGGGATTCCAGGGAAACACAGGTCCTAGCACCTCATGCTTGTCTCCTTGTGGGGATTCCAGGGAAACACAGGTCCTAGCACCTCATGCTTGTCTCCTTGTGGGGATTCCAGGGAAACACAGGTCCTAGCACCTCATGCTTGTCTCCTTGTGGGGATTCCAGGGAAACACAGGTCCTAGCACCTCATGCTTGTCTCCTTGTGGGGATTCCAGGGAAACACAGGTCCCTAGCACCTCATGCTTGTCTCCTTGTGGGGATTCCAGGGAAACACAGGTCCTAGCACCTCATGCTTGTCTCCTTGTGGGGATTCTGGGGAAACATAGGCCCCCACTGTGTAAATATATCATCAGTGTACAAGATGAAATATATCCTTGTGTGTTACAGTGTGGATATATCATCAGTGTACAAGATGAAATATATCCTTGTTTATTACAGTGTGGATATATCATCAGTGTTTAAGATGAAATATATCCTTGTGTATGACAGTGTAGATATATCATCAGTGTACAAGATGAAATATATCCTTGTGTATCACAGTGTAGATATATCATCAGTGTGCAAGATGAAATATATCCTTGTGTATTACAGTGTGGATATATTATCAGTGTACAAGATGAAATATATCCTTGTTTATTACAGTGTAGATATATCATCAGTGTACAAGATGAAATATATCCTTGTGTATGACAGTGTAGATATATCATCAGTGTACAAGATGAAATATATCCTTGTGTATCACAGTGTAGATATATCATCAGTGTACAAGATGAAATATATCTTTGTGTATTACAGTGTGGATATATTATCAGTGTACAAGATGAAATATATCCTTGTGTATTACTGTGTAGATATATCATCAGTGTACAAGATGAAATATATCCTTGGTGTGTAACAGTGTAGATATATCATCAGTGTACAAGATGAAATATATCCTTGTGTATCACTGTGTAGATATATCATCAGTGTACAAGATGAAATATATCCTTGTGTGTTACAGTGTAGATATATCATCAGTGTACAAGATGAAATATATCCTTGTGTATTACAGTGTAGATATATCATCAGTGTACAAGATGAAATATATCCTTGGTGTTTAACAGTGCAGATATATCATCATTGAAAGTAACTGTCCATATTAGTGTGTATAGCAATGTCAGGAACATGTTACAACCTAGATACATTGCCAGTGTATATCTACATATATATCAAGGTATTCATATCCCCTTTGATCTGACTCCTAGATAATGAGGTTTGGTGATAGAACTGAATGGTTTATTTCCCATTGTTATCTGATCACCAAATGAAACAGATAAATAGACAAGGATTGTTCGGTCTTCCACAAATCACTGTACCTCCAGGACAGACTGCCCAGTGAGTCAATCACTACTTCCTGGACTGCCCAGTGAGTCAATCACTACCTCTCGGACTCCCCAGTGAGTCAGTCACTACCTCCAGGACAGACTGCCCAGTGAGTCAATCACTACCTCCTGGACTGCCCAGTGAGTCAATCACTACCTCCTGGACTCCCCAGTGAGTCAATCACTACCTCTAGGGCAGACTACTCAGTGAGTCAATCACTGTACCTCCAGGACGGACTACCCAGTGAGTCAATCACTACCTCCTAAACTACCCAGTGAGTCAATCACTGTACCTCCAGGATTACCCAGTGAGTCAATAACTACCTCCTGGACTCCCCAGTGAGTCAATCACTGTACCTCCAGGATTACCCAGTGAGTCAATCACTACCTCCTGGACTACCCAGTGAGTCAATCACTGTACCTCCAGGATTACCCAGTGAGTCAATCACTACCTCCTGGACTACCCAGTGAGTCAATCACTGTACCTCCAGGATGGACTACCCAGTGAGTCAATCACTACCTCCTGGACTACCCAGCGAGTCAATCACTGCCTCCAGGACAGACTTCTCAGTGAGTCAATCACTACCTCCTGAACTACCCAGTGAGTCAATCACTACCTCCAGGATTACCCAGTGAGTCAATCACTACCTCCAGGATGGACTAATCAGTGAGTCAATCACTACCTCCAGGATGGACTACCCAGTGAGTCAATCACTGTACCTCCAGGATGGACTACTCTGTGAGTCAATCACTACCTCCAGGACTCCCCAGTGAGTCAATCACTACCTCCAGGATTACCCAGTGAGTCAATCACTACCTCCAGGACTCCCCAGTGAGTCAATCACTGCCTCCAGGACTGACTTCTCAGTGAGTCAATCACTACCTCCTGAACTACCCAGCGAGTCAATCACTACCTACAGGATTACCCAGTGAGTCAATCACTACCTCCAGGACTCCCCAGTGAGTCAATCACTGTACCTCCAGGATTACCCAGTGAGTCAATCACTACCTCCTGGACTACCCAGTGAGTCAATCACTGTACCTCCAGGATTACCCAGTGAGTCAATCACTACCTCCTGGACTACCCAGCGAGTCAATCACTGCCTCCAGGACAGACTTCTCAGTGAGTCAATCACTACCTCCTGAACTACCCAGTGAGTCAATCACTACCTCCAGGATTACCCAGTGAGTCAATCACTACCTCCAGGATGGACTAATCAGTGAGTCAATCACTACCTCCAGGATGGACTACTCTGTGAGTCAATCACTACCTCCAGGATTACCCAGTGAGTCAATCACTACCTCCAGGACTCCCCAGTGAGTCAATCACTACCTCCAGGACTCCCGAGTGAGTCAATCACTCTGCCTCCAGGACAAGAGCTCCTCGTGTTGTTTATTGCCATTTTATTGATTCCAGCGATTAGCAGATTATTGATTGAGAGAGTGGCCCTTTTACTCTACAGTTTTATTACACTCATTGCATTTTTCATTGTGGAGAAGAAATTTGATAGGAAATCAGATAAAAAGTCAGATGAATTGGATCAAATTTGTAATATCGGTAAAATTGATATTTTTTCTATTATAAATAGTTTGATATGTTGCAAGACACTGAGTACTGCAATCCTTCATGCTTTAGTCTCCAGCACTATGTGGCAATGGCT